ACACACACACACACACAAATAGCAGAAAATAAGAACACGAGATTTAACGTGGTTCGGTCAGTAAACTACTCCACGGGTTGCAACTAGGGTTTATCTTTTATTAGGTGCTCACAGATTATAGTTACATGATTGGGTATTTATAAGATATAAATTAGGGTTAACAACTTGCTAAACAAGAAACAACTAATGGGCCCTTTAATTAATAACTAAAACCGGCCCCCCATATTTCTTCTCTTTAACCGACCGGGCTTAAAGCCCAAAGCTCTAAAGCCTTCACCGAATAACCCAACATGTTTTAAAGTGTATCTTAAAAAAACTGCATTTGGAGGGCTGATGAATACTTGAAGGATACTTGTAGACTTTTTAAACTTGAAAGACTACATGTGGAGGGTTGATGAATACTTGAAGGACTACATATGTACTTTTGAAACTTGAATAATCAATCGTGCACGGCTCATAAAATTGAAGGACCAATCATGGATTTTAGCCTTGTTCCACCTTTTTAATCAACTTTTGAAAAAAGATGTGTGCTTTATTAACATGTACGGTGTATCAAGTAAATGCTTGGTGGCTTATCGCCTCTTTATACTTTCTCTACCTTAGTTTGCTCTTGGCTTCTTTGTGTTGGGCGAATTGAGTGTGGAGGCTCGACCAAGAAGGGTAGCCGGCCCTAGTCTTGGTTCGACCCATATGGCACTATGGCAGTAAATTAGGTTTTTAATTTAGCCGGCCCTAATTCTCTATGTGGGCTTGGGCCTAACTTGGGGATTAAGTTTTCAACCCTAGTTTAGTCTTCATAAATAGGAATCTCTGTACTTGTAATTCTGTGAGCACCTGAATAATAAAAACCCTAGTTGCAAAGTGGATTAGGTCAGCCGACCGAACCACTATAAATCTTGTGTTCCGTTTTTCTATGTTTTGATTTCTGGTTTGTGTGTGTTCTTGTTTGGTTGTGGTTTGCTATTCAGTATTCAGAGATACCTCAACAACTGGTATCAGAGCCTTAGGTTCGTGATCATTGAAGTCTTCCATCGGGTTCGTGGAGATCAGGTTCAAATCGAAGATTAGGGTTTCGAAGGGTTTGAAGATCAGTTCTGCCACCGTCATAGTTTCCGCTGCAGAATACGGTCTGTACTGTCTTGTGAACAGTAACCGCGCCGCCGCTGTGAACAGCCGCTGCTGCTAGGGTTTTGTTTAGCCGCTGCTGCTAGGGTTCCGAATAGCCGCTGCCAAGGTTAGTTCGTTATTAGTTTTTTCAATCTCAGATCAGTTTTTCAGCCGTGTATGGAAACAATGGCAGATGAAAAGATAAAGATTGAAAAGTTTGATGGAAGTGATTTTGGATTTTGGAAGATGCAAATCGAGGATGTTCTTTATCAGAAAGACTTATACCAAACGTTATCGGGAGAAAAGCCAGAAAAGATGAGTGATGCAGATTGGGCGATTTTGGACAGGAAAGCTTTGGGAGTGGTTAGGTTGTCATTGGCGAAGAGTGTTGCTTTCAACATAGTCAATGAAACGACTACGCATGGGTTAATGAAAGCTTTGTCGAATATGTACGAGAAACCCTCAGCATTGAACAAGGTGTTTTTGATCAGACAGTTGGTTAACACCAGAATGAGGGAGGGTGCTTCAGTTACCATTCACATCAACCAGTTTAATTCGGTCATAACTCGGTTAGGATCAGTTGGAATTAAGTTTGATGATGAACTTCAGGCGTTGCTGCTTTTATCTTCTTTGCCTGACAGTTGGTCTGGAACAGTGACTGCAGTTAGTAGTGCATCTGGTACTACTAAGTTTACTTTTGAAGGAATTCGGGACTTGATTCTAGGTGAAGACATCAGACGCAGAAGTTCAGGGGATTCTTCGAGTGCACTGTTGAGTACTGAAGGCAGAGGAAGAAGGAATGAAAGAGGAAGCAACCGTGGTAGAGGCAAGAGTCAGTCCAAGCATCG